CTTCTGTTTGGGCCATCCTTGCTCCAAAGCAGTCTTCTCAAAAAAAGAAAAATACCTATCTGGGTCACTCTCTGTAAACTTAGGGACAAAATTTGCAGCTTTAGTTATGTTAAAGTACTGCTCAGGCTCTTGTTCTGAACCTCCTAACCTTTGACGTTCTTTCTCCTAGCTTTCATTAATTTCATTTCAGCCTCTAGTACAGCTAATTTCAGTCTCATTCTCTCCATTTCCATATCACCTGGAGTAGGTGATTCCTCATCTTCACTATTAACAGCATGTTTACTGATGAATTATTACCTTCTTCCCTGAAGCCTAAAAAATCTGAAGACTCATCTTCTGACATAGTTTTATCTTTAAACACTTGCTCCCTCTTACAGTATCAGTGGACAAAGTTTCCCACAGGCACATAAAATAACACAAATTGAATGTAAACTATGCACATAGCACTTACCATAACCACAACAAAAATGTGTACTCCCTTTCCCCCCACCTTAGGAGAAAAACAACCTGTAAACTAATATATGAAAACAACACTTCCACTGACACCACCTTGGTAAATCTTCTACCAGAAACATGCAACTGTTATTACCCCATACCAGCACATATAGTTCAAAGAATGTTTTGAGTTATTTTAGCAGTCAAATAACTCTCCCGGACAGGCCCCCATGTTACGTTGGTTTGTCCCTTATTACTTTGATAGTAAGGTTCTCATCACTACTGTTCTAGTGTGGGGTAGCTTTTACTTAATGGTCTTATTTGTCTAGGGGTAATACTTACATCATGGCTGATCATCCTGAGTGTCTCTGATACCCTTTCACCAGCCCTCTTCACAGGTTATGTAAACTACTACTATAAAAATATAACTGTATTCTCAATAGATATGTACAGAATATACAATTACAGCCTCACATTTTCAAAACAACGATCTACACACTGCATAGCTGTTCTCCCACATGGTATATCTCAACAACTTTAGTCCTCTCTCCTTGACATAACTCTGGGCTAACCAGTGTTTTGACACACTTTAATCACCCTGGGTATGGTGGTCACAACTTAAATTATAAACAAAACTCACCCCTGGAGCACACATAATGCCCCAAAAGATAGAAGAAGGACCCAGAGATCCTGCCAGGTTGAAGGCCAGCCACAGAGAGACCGAGTCAGTGCGAGGAGAGAGAAGAAAGAGGCTAAGCTCCTCCCACCAAAACAAAAGACTGTTGCCAAGCACAATTCTCCAGTTACCACAATCTACCACACCTTAATTTTACTTTTACAAAAGGAAATACAACTTTATAAACTACTATTATTTAAATTTGTGTGTTTGTGTCTATAGTATAACCTATTATATTGAGAAAAATAGGCTTGACCCAGCTGCTTCTCAGTCATAAGGTTGATCAGTCCTTCTGACATTTAGAGCAAAGCCCCCATCAATTCAATATAATTAGGTATTCCAGAGTAACTGTTACTTATAAATACATATTGGGTCCTATAGCCCCATAACACCAACACTCTTATATGGGTGTGAATCTTGGGTTGTAAATGCTGCAGCGAGGAGGTGGCTGGAGGCATTGGAGATGTCCTGTCTAAGGGCAATGTGTGGCGTAAATATTATGCAGAGAATTCAGTGTGTGGAAATTAGGAGGTGTGGAGTTACTAAAAGTATTAGTCAGAGGGCTGAAGAGGGATTGTTGAGGTGGTTTGGTCATTTAGAGAGAATGGATCAAAGTAGAATGACTTGAAGAGCATATAAATCTGTAGGGGAAGGAAGGCGGGGTAGGGATCGTCCTCAAAAAGGTTGGAGGGAGGGGGGTAAAGGAGGTTTTGTGGATGAGGGGCTTGGACTTCCAGCAAGCATGTGTGAGCGTGTTTGATAGGAGTGAATGGAGACAAATGGTTTTTGGGACCTGACGAGCTGTTGGAGTGTGAGCAGGGTAATGTTTAGTGATGAGATTCAGGGAAACCAGTTTTTATATAGCCGGACTTGAGTACTGAAAATGGGAAGTACAATGCCTGCACTTTAAAGGAGGGGTTTGGGATATTGGCAGTTTGGAGGGGTATGTTATATATCTTTCTATGTGCTTCTGAACTGTTGTATCTGGATGACTTGGCAAAGACGGTGATTGTGTGAGTGAGGTGACAGTGTTGGGGATTTTTTCTTTTTTGGGTCATCCTGCCTCGGTGAGAGATGGCCGACTTGTTGAAAAAAAAGTGTATATTTTTTTTTTTTTTTTTATCACACCGGCCGATTCCCACCAAGGCAGGGTGGCCCGAAAAGAAAAACTTTCACCATCATTCACTCCATCACTGTCTTGCCAGAAGGGTGCTTTACACTACAGTTTTTTAAACTGCAACATTAACACCCCTCCTTCAGAGTGCAGGCACTGTACTTCCCATCTCCAGGACTCAAGTCCGGCCGCCGGTTTCCCTGAATCCCTTCATAAATGTTACTTTGCTCACACTCCAACAGCACGTCAAGTATAAAAACCATTTGTCTCCATTCACTCCTATCAAACACGCTCACGCATGCCTGCTGGAAGTCCAAGCCCCTCGCACACAAAACCTCCTTTACCCCCTCCTCCAACCCTTCCTAGGCCGACCCCTACCCCGCCTTCCTTCCACTACAGACTGATACACTCTTGAAGTCATTCTGTTTCGCTCCATTCTCTCTACATGTCCGAACCACCTCAACAACCCTTCCTCAGCCCCCTGGACAACAGTTTTGGTAATCCCGCACCTCCTCCTAACTTCCAAACTACGAATTCTCTGCATTATATTCACACCACACATTGCCCTCAGACATGACATCTCCACTGCCTCCAGCCTTCTCCTCGCTGCAACATTCATCACCCACGCTTCACACCCATATAAGAGCGTTGGTAAAACTATACTCTCATACATTCCCCTCTTTGCCTCCAAGGACAAAGTTCTTTGTCTCCACAGACTCCTAAGTGCACCACTCACTCTTTTTTCCCTCATCAATTCTATGATTCACCTCATCTTCATAGACCCATCCGCTGACACGTCCACTCCCAAATATCTGAATACGTTCACCTCCTCCATACTCTCTCCCTCCAATCTGATATTCAATCTTCATCACCTAATCTTTTTGTTTCCTCATAACCTTACTCTTCCTGTATTCACCTTTAATTTTCTTCTTTTGCACACCCTACCAAATTCATCCACCAATCTCTGCAACTTCTCTTCAGAATCTCCCAAGAGCACAGTGTCATCAGCAAAGAGCAGCTGTGACAACTCCCACTTTGTGTGTGATTCTTTATCTTTTAACTCCACGCCTCTTGCCAAGACCCTCCGCATTTACTTCTCTTACAACCCATCTATAAATATATAAACAACCACGGTGACATCACACATCCTTGTCTAAGGCCTACTTTTACTGGGAAAAAATTTCCCTCTTTCCTACATACTCTAACTTGAGCCTCACTATCCTCGTAAAAACTCTTCAACTGCTTTCAGTAACCTACCTCCTACACCATACACTTGCAACATCTGCCACATTGCCCCCCTATCCACCCTGTCATACGCCTTTTCCAAATCCATAAATGCCACAAAGACCTCTTTAGCCTTATCTAAATACTGTTCACTTATATGTTTCACTGTAAACACCTGGTCCACACACCCCCTACCTTCCCTAAAGCCTCCTTGTTCATCTGCTATCCTATTCTCCGTCTTACTCTTAATTCTTTCAATTATAACTCTACCATACACTTTACCAGGTACACTCAACAGACTTATCCCCCTATAATTTTTGCACTCTCTTTTATCCCCTTTGCCTTTATACAAAGGAACTATGCATGCTCTCTGCCAATCCCTAGGTACCTTACCCTCTTCCATACATTTATTAAATAATTGCACCAACCACTCCAAAACTATATCCCCACCTGCTTTTAACATTTCTATCTTTATCCCATCAATCCCGGCTGCCTTACCCCCTTTCATTTTACCTACTGCCTCAGTAGTAGGTAGTAGGTTGGTAGACAGCAACCACCCAGGGAGGTACTACCGTCCTGCCAAACGAGTGTGAAATGAAAACCTGTAATTGTTTTGCATGATGGTAGGATTGCTGGTGTCTTTTTCCTGTCTCATAAACATGCAAGATTTCAGGTACATCTTGCTACTTCTACTGACACTAAGGTCACACTACACATGCATGTACAAGCATATATATGTACACACCCCTCAGGGGTTTCTTCTATTTTCTTACTAATTCTTGTTCCTATTTCCTCTTATTTCCATGGGGAAGTAGAACAGAATTCTTCCTCCATAAGCCTTGCATGTCGTAGGAGGCAACTAAAATGCCAGGAGCAAGGGGCTAGTAACTCCATCTCTTGTATACAGTCCTAAAGTTAAATCAGAGAAACTTTTATTTTTCCTTTTAGGCCACCCTGCCTTGGTGGGATACGGCCGGTTTGTTAAAAAAAAAAGTGTATATATATAATATATATATATATATATATATATATATATATATATATATATATATTATATATATATATATATATATATATATATAATATATATATATATGTGCATGGAAAGTGCCAGATCAAGCAGGCTGTGTTAGATGTATGTGGACCAGCAGCAACAGCCTATTTGACCAGGCAGGCACTAGACAAACCTAACTCTGGCAGTAGAAAACTTGAAACCTCTCACAGGTATACCAATACAAAAACTTAGGGAAGTGAGTATACAATTTTTTTTTTTTCTTTTGGATTTTTGTAGATCCAATATAAAATCAAATGAATTATGAGGAATTCCTATCAAATGACTGGGTGGGCAGGGTTCAAACCCTCATCAGACAAGTCCTGAGCCTCATAGGTATTTAATGATTTGCTAATTATCTACTTACCAGTTATCTAAACCATCTATACACACTGTGATTTTTTGCATTTGTGTTAAGATTTCATAAATCAAAAAGGGTTTCAAAAAGTTGTTAAAAATATATATTTAGGGACATGAGCAAACAGTCGTCTTTCTTACAGATTTTCGTGCAAGATCGTGTTAAATATGCAGGTCAGCCTATAGGCCTAGTGGTGGCCAAGGATCGTGACACTGCTTATCATGCCGCTAAACTTGTCATAGTCGAGTATGAGGATGTGAAGAAACCAATATTGACCATTAAAGATGCTCTCAAGGCTGGCAAGAAACACACATCCATGAACTTCATCACAAACACCAGAGAACCATACACACTAGGCAATGCTGAAGGTCTGTAATGTATTATCTGGCTTGAAATTATAATACAGAAGGCCTGTTATGTATTATCATGCTTAAAATTTTGTGCTAGTTGTATAGACTTATTGTTGTCACTCATGGTTTAGGATAATTGACCCAGATGGGTGGAAATGGATTTCAGAGGATCAACTGAACTGTGATGTCAGCACTTCTGACAAGACAGGGATTGAATGGATGTTGGTGGATGGATTTACTTTTAAGTCACCTGACCTTGGTGGATGACAGTGACTGCATGAATGAGTGAAAAGCATTTCTTTGAGTAACCTTACCCTCATAGGGAAACAAAGTCAGGACAACACTAGAAAGCCAGGTATTGTGGCTTACTTAGCCTGGGGTTCATAAGACACATGTGCAACAGTTGGATATCTTTATTCAGAAATGTTTTGCCTACACAGTAGGCTTCTTTAGTTGAATACAGAGACAGCAGAAGCAGTAGAGATGTAAAGGTGTAATCAGTCCATCGCCTCAAAGACATAGTTTTGAGGTGGCCAGTCCCTCAGCCTGAATTTGAGAGGGACCTGCTTAGCATGGGCAAGTAGGCCTGCTACACTGCCTATCAATTATTAGTCTTGCTTCTGCTAGTAGGCTTAGCCTCTTCTGTCATCTTCAAGATTATCTGTGCCTCCTCAGTGTATATACACTGAAAGACACGTACCTCAGTGTAATTTTGAGGTGGTCAGTACCTCAGCCTGGAGAAGAGTTCACCTCCATAGTCTGGAACAATGTGAAGCTGAAGCAACACAACAAATACTTATTCGCATTACTCTTATAGTCATTTCTCTACTTTTTCGACAAATTGGCCATATCCCACCAAGGGAGGGTGACATAAAAAGAAACAAAAGTTTCTTTTTAAATTCCATAATGTATAAAGGAGAAGGGGCTACTAGCCCCTTGCTCCTGGCATTTTTAGCTGCCTCTTATGACGTGCATGGCTTCCAGAGGAAGAAATCTGTTTTACTTCCCCATGGAGTTTCTCTAAATGTTTGTAGATAAATGGTCAGAGAAGTGACAATATGATTAATTAAACAGAAATATCATATTTATCTGTTGTTGTTGCATAAGACAGTCACAGTTGCCTTCATTTTCAGAAGCATTGAAGACAGCTGCCCACACACTGACAGGAGAGCTGTCTCAAGGTTCTCAGTACCACTTCAACATGGAGCCTCACTCTGCCCGGGTAGTGCCTACTGAGGACGGGTATGATGTCTACAGCACCACTCAGTGGCCAACTGAAACACAGGCCACTACTGCCCAGGTCCTAGGAATAGCAACCAATAGGTATGGAACTCTGATTGGTGCATTTATTGACATATTATTAACTAAAATATAATCATTAAGACTTTGTCACTGTACATTACTATGCAAGGTTCATTATGACCAGATGTCACCTGTACACCACCGGTTACAATACGAGGATCATTAAGACTACGTGTCACCTCTACACCACCAGTCACCACATTAGGGTCATTAAGGTTGCATGTCACCTGTATAGCAGTCGTATATTAATTTCATCAAACTGTTTCAGCATCAATGTGTCTGTACGGCGTATTGGGGGTGGCTATGGTTCCAAGATCAGCAGACAACATATTGTATCAACAGCAGCAGCAGTGGCAGCCAGGAAGGTGAAGCAGCCAGTACGTGTAGTGACTGACCTCACTACTAACATGACCTACGCTGGCTGGCGTGAACCCTTCCTCTCAAAGTACGAGGTCAGTGTCTACTGTGTCTTCCAGAGGCATAATTCCCACATAAATTTTTCAATTAAAATTCTTTATTTCAGAATTATTGCACATAAAAAATATACAACAATCTGAAGTGTTGTTACCAGCATGATTGTCACTCTGCCTCAGTGGAGTACAAATGGTTTGTTGATTTTTTTTTTTTTTTTTAACCACCCCATCCCACTGACGCAAGATGACCCAAAAAGAAAAACGAAAGTTTTTTTTAAATTCAGTAACATATATAGAAGGGGAGATGTCCTGTTTAAAGGCAATGTGTGGTGTAAATATTATGCAGAAAATTCGGAGTGTGGAAATTAGGAGAAGGTGTGGAGTTAATAAAAGTATTAGTCAGAGGGCAGAAGAGGGGTTGTTGAGGTGGTTTGGTCATTTAGAGAGAATGGATCAAAGTAGAATGACATGGAAAGCATATAAATCTATAGGGGAAGGAAGGCGGGGTAGGGGTCGTCCTCGAAAGGGTTGGAGAGAGGGGGTAAAGGAGGTTTTGTGGGCAAGGGGCTTGGACTTCCAGCAAGCGTGCGTGAGCGTGTTAGATAGGAGTGAATGGAGACGAATGGTACTTGGGACCTGACGATCTGTTGGAGTGTGAGCAGGGTAATATTTAGTGAAGGGATTCAGGGAAACCGGTTATTTTCATATAGTCGGACTTGAGTCCTGGAAATGGGAAGTACAATGCCTGCACTTTAAAGGAGGGGTTTGGGATATTGGCAGTTTGGAGGGATATGTTGTGTATCTTTATGTGTGTGTGCTTCTGGACTGTTGTATTCTGAGCATCTCTGCAAAAACAGTGATAGTGTGCGGGTGTGGTGAAAGTGTTGAGTGATGATGGGAGTATTTTCTTTTTGGGGATTTTCTTTCTTTTTTGGGTCACCCTGCCTCGGTGGGAGACGGCCGACTTGTTGAAAAAAAAAAAAAAAAAATATATATAGAAGGGGTTACTAGCCCCTTGCTCTCAGCATTTTAGTCACCTCTTATGACACGCATGACTTAGAGGAAGAATTCTGTTCCACTTACCCATGGACATGAGAAGAAATAAACAAGAACTAGTAAGAAAATAGAAGAAAACACAGAGGGGTGTGTGTGTATATATGTATATGCTTGTACATGCATGTGTAGTGTGACCTAAGTAGAAGAAGAAAGACCTACCTGAAATCTTGCATGTTTGAGAGAGAAGATGCCAGCAATCCTGCCATAATGTAAAACAATTACAGGCTTCCATTTTACACTTACTTGGCAGGACAGTAGTACCTCCCTGGGTGGTTGCTGTCTACTGGCATACTACCTAGAAAAAAAAAAATATATGTACAGTGGTCCCTCAATAATCGTCCATAATCCGTTCCTGGAAGTGGGACTATTATCGAAATGGATGATTTACGAACCAATTTTCCCCATAAGAAATAATGTAAATCCAATTAATCTGTTCCTGACACCCAGAAGTATTAAAACAAAAAAATTTTTTACATGAAATATAGATGTAGTACATAAACAATACAGTGGCACATGATGAATTAAACATTAACAGAATAACACTTAATAAATAAATAAATAAATAAATTGGCGATTCTTTGTGTATGGAAGACTGGAGAAGGAGACTGATTGGATGAATTACTGTTTGGAAGGGAAATCCCCTTCCATCAACACCTCGGGTACCAATTGCTTTTCTGGGGTTACTTCTCCTCTGTTTCTTAATGCCACTAGGACCACCTTGAGAGTCACTGGAGTCCTGTCTCGCAAAAAAAATGTCCAGAGAGCTCTGTTTCTGGCGTCTCTTTAAAACTTCCCTAAAATGGGCCAAGACTCTGTCACTGTACAAGTTGCCAATATGGCTTGCAACATCCTTCTCTGGGTGATGTTTCTCCATAAATCTTTCCATCCTACCCCACATTTCAAAAATCTCCTTAATTTCTGAAGACGGCACCTTCCTCCATCTCTCTTCCTCCTCCTCTGCAGCAAGATTCTAAGCTGCGATCTGTTGCTGTTCCTGCTGAAACTCTTGCAGCTCCTCAGTGGTTAGCTCTTCGTTGTGGTCCTCCACCAACTCTTCCACATCCTCCAAACTCGCATCCAACCCCATGGAACTCCCCAGTGCCACAATGGATTTAACAACTGACATAGGCTCATCAGGGTCAGCTCCAAACCCTTCAAAATCCCTCTTGTGGACATAATCTGGCCACAATTTTCTCCAAGCAGAGTTCAAAGTCCTGGTAGTCACTCCCTCCCAAGCCTTACCTATAAGGCTTACACAATGAAGAATACTGAAATGTTCTTTCCAAAAATCTCGTAGGGTCAGGTGAGTGTCTGAGGTCACGTTCAAACACCTTTCAAACATTGCTTTGGTGTAGAGTTTTTTAAAGTTTGCAATGACCTGCTGGTCCATGGGCTGGAGGAGAGGAGTGGTATTCGGGGGCAAGAACTTTACTGTGATGAACCCAAACTCCTTCAGAATTAGGTCATCCAAGCTTGGAGGATGAGCAGGTGCATTGTCCATTACTAGGAGGCACTTGAGATCCAATTTCTTTTCCAAGAGGTAATTCTTCACACTAGGGCCAAACACTTCATTGAACCACTCTACAAAAATTTCCCTCGTGACCCATGCCTTACTATTAGATTTCCAAAACACACACAATTTACTCTTCATAACATTGTTTTTCTTGAAAACACTGGGATTTTCAAAATGGTACACTAGTAACGGCTTCACTTTGAAATCCCCACTAGCATTAGCACAGAACATTAACGTCAGCCTGTCTTTCATAGGCTTGTGTCCTGGCAGCGCCTTTTCTTCCTGAGTAATGTAGGTCCTCTTTGGCATTTTCTTCCAAAAGAGGCCTGTTTCATCACAATTGAACACTTGTTCAGGTTTCAGTCCTTCACTGTTTATGTACTCCTTGAATTCATGCACATATTTTTCAGCCGCCTTGTGGTCCAAACTGGCAGCCTCACCATGACTCACAAAATCGTAATGACACGATTGCAAACAAACCATACCCCGGCCGGGATTGAACCCGCGGTCAGAGAATCTCAAAACTCCAGCTGGTCTAGTGGCTAACGATAATTTCGCCTAACGTTGAGCTCTCAGGAACGGATTAATATCATTAGGCGAGGGTCCACTGTATATAGATGGCGAGAATATTTTGAGGAGCTTTTAAATGTCGACGAAGAAAGGGAAGCGGTAATTTCATGCACTGGCCAGGGAGGAATACCATCTTTTAGGAGTGAAGAAGAGCAGGATGTGAGTGTGGGGGAGGTGCGTGAGGCATTACGTAGAATGAAAGGGGAAAAAGCAGATGGAACTGACGAGATCATGACAGAAATGTTAAAAGCAGGGGGGATACATAGTGTTGGAGTGGTTGGTGTTTTAGTTAAATAAATGTATGAAAGACGGGAAGGTACCTATGGATTGGCAGTGTGTGTATAGTCCCTCTATATAAAGGGAAGGAGGACAAAAGAGATAGTAAACTTATTCCTCTATAATTTTTACAGAGTATACCAGGAAAAGTGTACGGTAGGGTTATTATTGAAAGAATTAGAGGTAAGACAGAATGTAGAATTGCGGATTCACAAGGTTTTAGTGGGTAGAGGATGTGTAGATCAAGTGTTTACATTGAAGTATATATGTGAGCAGTATTTAGATAAAGGTAGGGAAGTTTTTATTGCATTTATGGATTTAGAAAAGGCATATGATATGGATAGGGGAACAATGTGGCAGATGTTGAAAGTATATGGAATAGGTAGTAAGTTACTAAATGTTGTAAAGAGTTTTTATGAGGATAGTGAGGCTCAGGTTAGGGTGTGTACAAGAGAGGGAGACTACTTCCCGGTAAAAGTAGGTCTTAGACAGGGATGTGTAATTTCACCATGGTTGTTTAATATATTTATAGATGGGGTTGCAAAAGAAGTAAATGCTAGGGTGTTGGGGAGAGGGGTGGGATTCAATTATGGGGAATCAAATACAAAATGAGAGTTGACAGTTACTTTTTGCTGATGATACTGTGCTTATGGGAGATTCTAAAGAGAAGTTGCAAAGGTTAGTGGGTGAGTTTGGGAGAGTGTGTAAAGGTAGAAAGTTGGAAGTGAACATGGATAAGAGTAAGGTAATGAGGGTATCAAATGATTTAGATAAAGGAAAAATGGATATCACATTGCAGAGAAGGAGTATGGAAGAAGTGAAAGTTTTCAGATATTTGGGAGTTGATGTGTCAGTGGATGGGTTTATGAAGGATGAGGTTAACCATAGAATTGATGAGGGGAAAAAAGGTGAGTGGTACATTGAGGTATATGTGGACACAAAAAACATTGTCAGTGGAGGCAAAAAAGGGAATGTATGAAAGTATAGTATTACCAACACTCTTATATGGGTGTGAAGCTTGGGTTGTAAATGCTGCAGCGAGGAGGCGGTTGGAGGCAGTAGAGATGTCCTGTTTAACCTTTAAACGGTCCAAACAGATCGACGTTCAAATTTGTAGTGCTACAATAGTAGATCTACTTTTTTTTTACGTATTTTCAAATATAAAAAAAAAATATAGGTAAGCTTTTTACACGTTTTCAAATGTAAAACAAAAAAGATCTATGTTTTTTTACATACTTTCAGATGTTGAAAAAATGTATATATATGTTTGGACCGTTTAAGGGTTAAGGGCAATGTGTGGTGTTAATATTATGCAGAGAATTCGAAGTGTGGAAATTAGGATAAGGTGTGGAGTTAATAAAAGTATTAGTCAGAGAGCAGAAGAGGGGTTGTTGAGGTGGTTTGGTCATTTAGAGAGAATGGATCAAAGTAGAATGACATGGAGAGCGTATAAATCTGTAGTGAAAGGAAGGCGGGGTAGGGGTTGTCCTCGAAAAGGTTGGGAGGGAGGGAGTAAAGGAGGTTTTGTTGGTGAGGGGCTTGGACTTCCAGCAAGTGTACATGAGTGTTTTAGATAGGAGTGAATGGAGACAAATGGTTTTTGGGACCTGACGAGCTGTTGGAGTGTGAGCAGGGTAATATTTAGTGAAGGGATTCAGGGAAACTTTTTATTTTTATATAGCTGGACCTGAGTTCTGGAAATGGGAAGTACAATGCCTGCACTTTAAAGGAGGGGTTAGAGATATTGGCAGTTTGGAGGGATGTGTAATAGGATGGTATATATAATTAGGGCCCTGATATTATATTCTATATGGAGTTTATAATATTATTTCAGGTCACTTTTTATATTGTATCTTTATATATGCCTCTAAATTGTTGTATCTGGGTGCCTCTGCAATAACAGTGATTGTACGAGTGAGGTGAAAGTATTGAATGGTGATGAAAGTATTTTCTTTTTGGGGAGTTTCTTTGTTTTTGGTTCACCCTGCCTCGGTGGGAGACAGCCAACTTGTTAAATAAATATATAAATATATACGTATATATATATTCTAGGTAGTAGGTTGGTAGACAGCAACTGCCCAGGGAGGTACTACCGTCCTGCTGAGTGAGTGTAAAACGAAAGCCTGTATATGTTTTGCATGATGGTAGGATTGCTGATGTCTTTTTTCTGTCTCATAAACATGCAAGGTTTCAGGGACATCTTGCTACTTCTACTTACACTTAGGTCACACTACACATACATGTACAAGCATATATATACACGCCCCTCTGGGTTTTCTTCTATTTTCTTTCTAGTTCTTGTTGTTTATTTCCTCTTATCTCCATGGGGAAGTGGAACAGAATTCTTCCTCCGTAAGCCATGCGTGTTGTAAGAGGCGACTAAAATGCCAGGAGCAAGGGGGCTAATAACCCCCCTTCTCCTGTATATACAGTGGACCCCCGCATACCGATTTTAATCCGTGCAAGAGGGCTCATTGGTATGCGAAATAATCGGTATGCGAATGAATTTTCCCCATAAGAAATAATGGAAATCAAATTAATCCGTGCAAGACACCCAAAAGTATGAAAAAAAAATTTTTACCACATGAAATATACATTTTCCTACACACAAAGAGAAGGATACATGCACAATAGTAGAGTAGTACATGCACAGTATATATTGTGCATGTACTAGTCTACTAAATGAAGAATAAATGACACTTACCTTTATTGAAGATGCAGCAATGACTGATGAGACAGTCTCCTGGGAGTGCCTTTTCCTCCTGAGTACTGTAGGTCCTGTTTGGCATTTTCTTCCAGAACAGGCCTTATCACACTGTGTATGTCACTACGATTCTTAAATCTCTCAAACCAACCTTTGCTGGCTTTAAATTCACCAATATGAGCACTAGTTCCAGGCATTTTTCCCTGTTCACCTGGGTGTTAGTCGACTGGTGTGGGTTGCATCCTGGGAGACAAGATTAAGGACACCAATGGAAATAAGTTAGACAGTCTTCGATGACACTGACTTTTTTGGATTATCCTGGGTGGAAAATCCTCTGGGGTTAATTGTTTCTTGGTATATTCTCAATAAGCCACACCAACAACAGTGCTACAGCAGCAAGCAACGATGCTACAGCAGCCAGCAGCAGCAGACGATGCTACAGCAGCAGCAGCAGCAGAACAATGCTACAGCAGCAGCAGAACGGTGCTACAGCAGCAGCAGACGGTGCTACAGCAAGCAAGGCCACAGCAGACGGTGCTACAGCAGCAGCAGACGGTGCTACAGCAGCAGCAGACGGTGCTACAAAGCCAGCAGACGTGCTACAGCAGCAGCAGACGGTGCTACAGCAGCAGAGCTGACAGTGCTGCAGCAGCAGCAGCAGCAGCAGCTGTACCACCAATAGTAGCGATGGTTGATTGGGGTTCATTATACAACCTGGCCAGCTCGGAGACACGCACTCCACTTTCATACTTATCAATGATCTTTTTCTTCATCTCTATAGTAATTCTCACCCTTATTGCTGTAGGGTTGGCACTAGAAGCTTTCTTGGGGCCCATGGTCACTTATTTTCCAGATAAAATCACCAAAAACACTGTAATAATACGAAATGTTACGATTGTATGCTTGGATGCTACCGCGGAGGCTGGCTGGTAAACAATGCCACCGGCGGAACATGTGAGGCTGGCTAAGGCGCACATTGGACGCGTCTTGGACGAACAGTGGTGAGCGGGTTTTTGAGCGGTATGCGAGGCAAAATTTTTGCAATTAAAGTGAGCGGTATGCGGAATAAACGGTATGTGATGCCAACGGTATGAGGGGGTCCACTGTATTACTAAATGTAAAAGGAGAAACTTTCGTTTTTCCTTTTGGGCCACCCCGCCTCGGTGGGATACGGCTGGATTGTTGAGAGATACATACAGCCTCTCCTCTCTTAGTGTCATACTCATTTACCGACGCCTTGGACTTGTGACACACTGACCACTATTCATACCTAAATAATGTATATTAGAGTTGATTTCCTCTTTTCTGTATACATACTTCAATATGCAATACACTACTGTTTAAACATTTAAAAATATACCAGAGATGTTATAAAGGTGACATTAAAGCAATATCAAAGATGGTTGAGACACTCACTACCATTATAATATACTCCTCCTAGCGATGAATTCATTTAACGATGTGGTCTTAGGAATGGAACTCTGTCGTTAAGTGAGGAGAGGCTGTATATGAATTCTGTGTCATAATGTATGACTGTTGATGAATAAAAGAGAGCCAGGGGCTTGAACCATGGTCCCTGATACTGTCAGGTCCAGAGCTTCACCACTGAGCTATGGGGGCTCCAATACATTTTTCAGGTCGGATTTGATGGTAATGGGAAAATCGAAGGAGCCAAGATAGAGTTGATCGCCGACACCGGACACGTCTCTAACGAGTCCGCTGTCAGCTTCCTATTTGGTGCCGTCCAGAATGCGTATTATATTCCCAACCTGACTTTCACTCCATCCATGGTGAACACTGACACTGCTGCCAACACCTACTGTAGAACACCAGGTGAGTGACAACACTTACTGTAGAACCAGTTTTAAATCCCTCCTTCAAGGTTTTGAAAACCTCTTTCAGGATTTTAAACCCTCCTTCAAGGTTTCAAAACCACCTTCATGGTTATGAAACCACCTTCAGGATTCAAAACCCCCTTTAAGGTTTTAAAACCCTCATTCAAGATTTTAAAACCTCCTTTAAGGTTTCAAAAACCTTCAAGGTTTTTGAAACCTTCAGGATTCTGAAACCTTCAGGATTCAAAACCTCCTTCAAGGGTTTAAAACCTCCAAGGTTTTAAACCCTTGAAGGGGTTTTGACCTTGAGCCCATATAAGTTAAAGTAACACTAACACTGATGGTACAGGTCACGTTGAGGCAGTGGCGACCATTGAGAACATAATGGAACACATTGCCAGCTACCTCAAGGTGGACAAGATGCAGGTACGACTGAACAACATGGTCGCTCCCGGCGTACCTCGCATGTTTGTTCCGCCGCACCAGAAGAATGTTGTTAAGGATGAAATTCTTCCACTGCTGACGACTCAGGCATCCATTGTTCAGCGACAACGAGAAGTGGACGACTTCAACAAGGTCAGTTACTTTAGGGTACCAGATACCGACTACACTAAATGTAACTACCACTCATGGTATTGTACAGTGATTGTAAATGATGCACTGAATTATACCATAACAATTGTAAAACTTACAGAATTGTACCATGATTGCAAACAACTCGTAGAATTATACTACGTAAACAACTCGCAGAACTGTACCTTGATTGTAAATGACTCGTGGAATTGTACAATGATTTTAAACGATGCGCAGATTTGTACCATGATTGTAAATGACTCGTGGAATTGTACAATGATTTTAAACGATGCGCAGATTTGTACCATGATTGTAAATGACTCGCTGAATTGTACCATGATTGTAAAAAATTTTTGGAATTATACCATGACTGTAAACAGCTCACAGAATTAGACTATAACAGTTACAAACAACTCTCAGAATTGTACCATAACAATTGCCTAACTTAGGCCTATTTACCCTCAAGCACAGTAGATCTATCAATGATCAGTTCCCACTGTGTAACTATCGTATATAACTGACTGCTGGTGATTAACAGTGCTTCATTTAAAATTTAATGGTGATACATGTACAAGGTAACTACTGACTGAATGATGGTAAATGTGTTTCTTTGAAAAAATAGTTACCCTAATTTAGAAGAGATGGGAATGTAAAACAATGCATTTGGCTTGATATAAACAATACAGGAAGTCCTCATCTAACGAACATGTTGGGGACCTGTATTGTGTATAATAATGATGTAACGATATTATACACACTATCCCGTATTTCACTTATAAGACTTGTTAGTTTCAGTGGCTTGGCATCAGATGTAACTGGGAGAGCTACAGCCTACCCCACACCCCAAACTTATAGCTCCCTTCACTGACCTTCCGTTTATAGGACGCAGGGTGATTTTTGGGGACATTTTATGAAAAATAAAATGCGTCTAATAAGCTGCCAAATACGGTAATAATTATATACAATACTGAAGATTCTTAATGTGTTTGTAAGTCAAGGACTTACTGTATTTCTTTCCACAGAAAAAACAAATGGAAGAAGCGAGGACTTTCCATCCTGCCAATGTGGTACGGCTTCGACTACCCTTCAATGTTCCGCTACGGTATCCAGGTTACCATATATGAGCACGATGGTACCGTGGCCATCTCTCACGGTGGTATAGAGATGGGACAAGGTATCAATACTAAGGTACATGAATAACTTGGTGTTCCATAAGGATCAGTTTAAGGCATATTCTTCTTCATAATTTACTTTAATGACATTGATTAATGAATAACGAGTGACATGAGTAAAATCACTGACACAAAAATAGGACGAATAATAGATGCTGAGGAGAATATATCAATGAACCTCAGCAGGATTTATACAAATTAATGTTACGGTGTGAATTAAACACTTTTCATTGCTCAGTAACCTCAAGGAGACACAAACACAGGAGGTTGATTGATCTGTATGTTTTGACCCCCATGTGGGGTCTTCTTCAGTAATCTGTTAGAGGACCCCAGAAGGGGGTCAAAATATACAAATTGGTCACCTTCCTGTGTTTATCTACTTGTGGGTTATTATCAAGCACTAAAGTAAATATTTACAAACTCGATTTAGTCAATTTGAGTCGTGACGGATGACCGTCAATGAATGGAAAGGTAGATTGGAGCTTGAACCATGGTAGTGAGTTTGAGAAGTTCAGAAATTTGCTACTGAGCTGTGGAAGTTCTGATTGAAGAGTGTCACTGTCTGTCAGTGGCTACTGTCTCTTAGCCTACTGTCCTAGACCTGTCAATCTCATGACTATAGTTCAAGCCTTTTGTTGCTCTTCATGTTGATTCATTATTATTTACCTTGTTGTAAATTATATGCTAAACCCATAAGTTGATAATGATGCTTGTGGAACATGTAGGCATGTTTATTATTATTATTATTATTATTATTATTATTATTATTATTGAAATTATTACTACTATAATTATTGATATTTTTATTGCAATTATTGTAATACTATTTTATGTATAATCATTATTACTGCTGTTATCACTGCTATTACAATTATTATTATTATTATTATTATTATTATTATTATTATTATTATTATGGGCATTTTAATTTTTAGTATTAAAATTATGGATAATATTATTGCTATTAGTATTACGACAGAAGTTTTAAGACTTGCTTGCCATCGGTTCAAACCCCCCATCCATAAGATAAGATTTTGTTTGGATTTTTAACCCTGGAGGTTTAGCCACCCAGAATAACCCAAGAAAGTCAGTAGGTCATCAAGGACTGTCTTATTTCCATTGTGGCCCTTCAATATTGTCCCCCTGGATGCCACCCTTACCAGTCGCCTAACACCCAGATACCTACTTGCTTGCTAGGTGAACGGGGACATGCGTAAGGAAACACACCCAGTGTTTCCACCCCTGCCAGGGATCAGACCATGGACACTAAGTGTGTGAAGCCAGTGTGTTGTCTACCAGGCCACCATATTATTATTATTCTTATGATGATGATGATTGGCAGGTGGCACAGGTGGCAGCCTATGTGCTTGGCATACCTCTGGAAAACATCGTGGTCAAGGCTTCCGACACCATGGTGGGTGCCAACTCCATGGTCACTGGCGGCTCCTTTGGCACTGACCTCTGTGCTCATGTAAGTACCATGAAGTTCAACCAGTGACAGTACTAACAGTCTGATGGATCACATGCATGAGAGCAGTACCTGGTGAACACCTGGGTTAAGACTGAGGGATTGATTACCCTCTCTCCTGCTGTCTTCAGTCATCATCATCATTTATGGTAGTACTGTATTAGTATTGTTATTCTTCTTATTAAATCCTCATTAACCAACCAACCAACCAGTCTTAATGACCCTGGTGTAGTAGATAGAATTTAAACCCCATTAACGATCCAACAAGCCTTAATGACTTGTGTAGTGGATAGACTTTAAATCCCATTAATCAACCAACCAGTATTAATGACCCTGGTGTAGTAGACATTAAACCTACCAAACAATACCTGGCAGGGAGTGAGGGTCGCCTGTACATCACTGCGTCAACGACTGGACGTAGTGAAGGAGAAGATGAAGAAGGAAACAGGGAAAGACCCAACATGGTTACAGTTAGTGAAGAAGTGTCATGCTGAAGATGTGGACTTGTCTCAACGTTACTGGTGAGTTGGTACTTCTTGGGCACTTCCTGGGTACTACCTGAGGTACTTCCTGGGCACTCTATGGGTACTTCCTGGGTATTACATGGGGTACTTCCTGGGTACTCTCTTGGTACTTCCTGGGTGCATTCTGGGCACTTCCTGGGCACACTCTTGGCACTTCCTGGGTACTACCTGGGGTATTTCCTGGGTGCACTCTGGGCATTTCCTGGGTACTCTCTTGGCACTTCCTGGGCACTACCTCAGCACTTCCTGGGCACACTCTTGGCACTTTCTGGGCACTTCCTTGTTACTTCCTGGGCCAAGGGGTGCTCAGGCCCCCCCTCTCATATTACACTAGCCCCTCAAATACAATAACAATAATAATACAGTAGAACCCCCATATCTGCAGATTCAGTTTCTGCTGTTTCAGTTATCAATGGTCCACTATGGATCAAAAATAACCATTAATGTTGCGTAACCCTTTCAGGGTCGAGACCCCCCAATCCTGAACTCGTTCTAATAGTCGAAAAATTAAGAAAAAAAAATTCATTTGAAATGATAATGTTTTCCCGATAGTAATGCCACCAAAAGTACGAAATTTGATGGAAAACTTAAATTGCACTCTCGCGAAGTTAGCGATATTTGTGAATCTGCAATTTCGCCCACTTTGAGCCCTATTTTCAGCCAATTCTGTTGTTCATCGATGAAAATCGACTATTTCACAAGAACTCCATTTGTTCTATCGACTAAGTACATGAAACCGCCCATTTACCAATTTCAGCTACCCAATAAAGTGGTCAGAAATTGGCAGTTGGCCAATTTCACACACATTTTAAAGGATGCCAATGACAAAATAGGGTCCAGGATAAACAAGACAGACATTCCTGGCACTAAAATAACATTTTCTTTGTTCATTAGTCATTACTCTTGCTTTCCATTTTGAATTTTTATTCTCACAAAAAATAGAATTACTGTTATGCAGGCTACTGCATTATTGTAAAAATGGTATAAATGATATCAGCGCACTTGTGAAATATTAGACTCGCCAGTTGACGTGTATTGGATGCGTGGCGTGATTTGTTTGGTCTTGAACATCGGCAAAAGTCAAACATTTCCGCTACTTTGAGCTCAATTTCAAGGTACTTTTCATCTTGAAACCCATAAAAATCATCTTTATTTTTGTAATATATCTTCCATTCTATCAAATAAGACCAATAATATGAGAATACATAAATACTATATGAAAGTACACTGCAAGGTTCCTGTTTTAAACAAAAAGTCATTTTTTTTATATCTTTATGCACTGCATGCTGCACGATTTTTTTTATACTGTGCACACTGACCATGCAGTTCCATTGTTTCATATGTAGGCTTACCATCTTTCTTCCATTCGATTTGAAGGCGCTAGAATTTTGACGTATAAGTATGGCAGCGACCCTGGCTTTCAAGCCATACATGTATGTCACTGACCCTGAAATGGTGGCAAAGTGCAATACTAATGATGCTGGTAGTTCTTTGAAGTCTAAGAGAAGCTGAGAGAAGTGGAAAAAAGTGATAATTCTTGATTTAATGTGTATAATTTATTAAACTTTATCAAAAGTTTGTAAAGGAAAAACAACTTGTATAGAAGAACTGCCATATCCATGGAGGATGTGTTACAAGGACCTGCCGTGAATACTGAAACCACGGTAGAACCCCAATATCCATGGAGGATGCGTTACAAGGACCTGCCATGGATACCAAACCACGGATAGCAGCCAGCCCCCATACATGTCCTTTTTTCTTCACATATATGCCTAGGGTAAAGTTTAATTGATAAATTATGTACAATAAGTGAAGATTTATCACTTTTTCACTGATGGGGAGCACTTCACGGCTTCTCTTAGGCTTTGAAGAACTGACATCACTACTTTTGCACTTTGTGGCCATTATTAAGCAAAGTTAAGGGTTATTTTCGGACCATGGCAAACCACAGATACAGGACTAGCATATATGGGGGGTCCCACTGTATATAGGGTTCACCATTATCCGTAGTTTCAGGTATCCAGGGTAGGTCTTGGAAGGTATTTCCCATGGGGTGTCCCGTAGCTCGATCACTAGCGCACTCGGTTCACACAGAGGTTCAGGGTTCGCATCTCCGGTACAGCTGGATAACATTAGGATGTGTTTCCATAAGACACCTGCTGTCCATGTTCACCCATCAGTATAAAATGGGTACTTGGGTGTTAGTCCACTGGTGTGGGTAGCATCTTGGGACAAAACTGACCTAATTTGCGGGAAATGCTCTGCATAACAAGCGGATTTTTATATAGTAGTACACATGTTATTGATGTCTGCTATGGTCTGTATACCTTGTATATGCACTTGTAGAAATAGATATTATTATACTATAAATATATTATGGATATTATAATTATATTAATGTAAGTGCTTCAGGCGAGTGTACTAGCCTGGTTTTGCATCCAGATTATACTTCCATTAAACGACTGTCAGCCTGCACTGTCAGTCAGAACTGTGACCACAAATGCAGATTTTTACAGATGAATGTCACACTAGCATGGCTGTCACTCTAGCTCAAGTCCCCTCAAAGCCGCCATTGTGACTTATGAAACCACAGTGAAACGATTGAAGTTGTGTTACGATTTCGTGAGTCAATCAAGTACGTACTCTTAACACAGATGTCTCGAGGTTAATGAACTTAGGATCAAGCCTGCATTGCTGGTCTTGAATGACCCACCATGTTCTGTAATTATAAACCCAATATAATTATACACCCAAGACATATACACCCTGGACATGATTATACACTCAAGACAGCTAATTATACAGCTTAGACAGATAAATTTACACCCAGACAGATATTTATTCAGTTTAGACATAATTATACACCGTAAACATAATTATGTGCGCTACATAAAAATAAAGGTTTATTTCTTTGTAAAGGTTAGTGTGTAATTACAATTTTGGTGTGCTAAGTAAGTACAGTGAAAGTCACTATCATGCCGGGGCGTTTCGGGCAGACTAATCCTAATACGTAGTAACTACTTAAAACTAGACAGATAATAGTACATAGTAGCTACTTAAAACTAGACAAGATAGTAGTGGTTAACTGGATTACAATTTTATTTAATTTTAATAATATAAGATAGTCAAGGTAGAGGTTTTTAAGAATAATAATCCTGAAGTTGTACATAAAAACAATATTACAAATAATGGTTCAGGCAGTAATATTTCCTGGACTGGCAGAAGTTTAAAAGTCTAGAGGTCATATAATATAACTAGTTAGCATTTGTTTTGGTTGAATTGGTTTTTATTGAGAGATGAGATGATTTTTTAGCAAAGCTATAAATTTATAAGTAGTCAGGGGATCCTTTACAGGTTCCGGTAGCGAGTTCCAGATCTTCGGGCCTTTATGTACATAGCGTTTTTGCATAGTGTGAGACTAGCTATTAAAAATTATTAAATGTTATTAAAATTAACTCTGGTGTGTAGGACTGCCGGTAAGGAACATCCTGAGCGCTACGACATCTGGGGAGCTGCGGCCCTGGAGCTAGAAATTGATGTTCTAACTGGCGTCTTTGTGGTAAGTTTTTGTTATTTGGTTTAATATACCCACAAGTTGAACGAGGTATTTGGGAATGTTTGGTTGGTCAGTGGCATCTTCAGCCCAGTGTAGACGAGACGAGTTTCAGGTGATCAGTCCCTCTCTCCGGAGGTGATGTCTTCAGTCTTGAAATTGATGGACTGAACACACAGACTCCAGGCTGAGGGACTGATCACCTCACTCTTCCTAACCTTCCACTTTTCTCTGTACTGGACTGAAGCCACTGGCTGGCCAAGCATTTCTACAATAAACATTGCCAAATGTTGCACAGGTGTGTTGCCAGTAACCCTTATAGTTGATATATTGATGATTCAGTAGGACTGCAACCATCCTTTCATCACTGAATCAAATGTAATCAATCTCCAGTTACCCAGCTGGTGTATGACCCTTCTTCATTTAGAGCTCCCCAGTATTGTAAAACAGCTCTTGTATAAACCTATACATGTGTATAGTTTTGTTTTTTTTGTACTTGTGATTGAGAAAGATCATCCAAAATTGAGTAAGTGTGAAGGCTTTATCACATGTTATTCAAATTTCACTGTACTTTTCCGAGTCACATCTACAAAAAATCTGACAATATCCCGGAGGTTTATAAGAGAAAATGTGAATTGTTATCAATCTGTTATAATAATTCATTTGAAATAGGGAGAGAGAATGGAGGAGGTGAATGTATTCAGATATTTGGGAGTGGAAGTGTCAGCAGATGAGTCTGTGAAAGATGAGGTGAATCACAACTGAGGGAAAAAAGGAATCTGTGGAGACAAAGAGCATCCATGGAAGCAAAGAGGGAAGTGTATGAGAGTATAGTTATACCAACGCTCTTGTATGGGTGTGAAACATGGGTTGTGAATGTTGCAACAAGGAGAAGGCTGGAGGCAGTGGAGATGTCATGTCTGAGGGCAATGTGTGGTATGAATATAATGCAGGGAATTCGTAGTTGGGAAATTAGTAGGTGCAGGATTAAAAAAAAAAAAACTAAACCAGAGGGCTGAGGAGGGGTTAAAGTGGTTTGGAAATGTAGAGAGGCTGGAATGAAATAGAATGACTTGGAGAATGTATAAATCTGTAGTGGAGGGAAGGTGGGGGTAGGGGTCGGCTTAGGAAAGGTTGGAGGGAGGGGGTAAAGGAGGTTTTGTGTGCGAGGGGCTTGGACTTCGAGCAAGCATGCGTGAGCATGTTAGATAGGAGTGAATGGAGACAAGTGGTTTTTAGGACATGATGTGCTGTTGGAGTGTGAGCACGGTAATATTTATGAAGGGATTCAGGGATATTGGCAGGCCGAACTTGAGTCCTGGAGATGGGAAGTACAGTGCTGCAATCTGAAAGAGGGGTGTAAATGTTGTAGTTTATAACTGTAGTGTAAATGCACCTCTGGCAAGACAGTGATGGAGTGAATGATGGTGAAAGTTTTTTTTTTTTTTTTTTTGGGGGGGGGGCCACCCTTCCTTGGTGGGAAATGGCCAATGTGTTAATAAAAAAAAAAAATCCTTTTTTATATATACATTCTCAGATCCGACGAGCGGACATTATAGAGGACTCAGGTCGGAGCATGAGTCCGTATATTGATATTGGCCAAGTTGAAGGAGCTTTTATCATGGGTATTGGATTCTATACCTCAGAGATGGTCAAATATGATCCTAACACAGGCCAGAAGCTCTCTAATGGTACCTGGGTAAGTAATAACCTCTTAATGAGTATATAGTCTTAATACTGTGACTGGAACAATACACAAATATCCCCCACACTTTGGTCCAACTTGGAGCATTAATTAGTCACAATGTCTGACTAATTAATGGTCCAATTTGGACCAAAATGTGGTCATAAGGGTCATTATCCCATGTGTGGGTTATTTGTGTATAATCTATCAGTGGGAGAAGAACATTAACTTTTACAGGACAAACTTTACTTTTTCATAAACCAGGGAACAGGAGGGACTTGAACCCAAGACAAGTGCTAAAACTCGCAGGCCAGTGTGTTAACTGTACCAGCTGGCTCTTAACCCGTAAACGGTCGAAACATATATATACGTTTTTTCAACATTTGACAGTATGTAAAAAAAGTAATCTTTTTGTTTTTCTACATTTGAAAATACAGTGGACCCCCGGTTAACGAACTTTTTTCATTCCAGTAGTATGTTCAGGTGCCAGTACTGACCGAATTTTTTCCCATAAGGAATATTGTGAAGTAGATTAGTCCATTTCAGACCCCCAAACATACACGTACAAACGCACTTACATAAATACACTTACATAATTGGTCGCATTTGGAGGTGATCGTTAAGCGGGGGTCCACTGTATGTAAAAAAACTTAGATCTACTTTTGTAGCACTACACACGTGAATGTAGATCTGCTTGGACCGTTTACGGGTTAATAAGATTCATCCAACTAAGTATATTTCTATGTAGCACAGGAAGGTCAGCATGGGTCATCACTCTTGTTTTAATACATGTAAACAACATTTTTGTATTGAATTAAGAAATAATAAAAAGTTTGGATTTGTGGATACACATTAACAAGACTCAGTCCATAGCTCTTTCCTGAAGCCACAAACATTATAGTTATAGGTAAGACACATAGGCAACAGTTAGGCAACTTTATTCCAAAACGTTTCGCCTACACAGTTAGGCAACTTTATTCCGAAACGAAACATTTCGGAATAAAGTTGCCTAACTGTTGCTTATGTGTCTTACCTACCAACCTGTCGGTATTGTATACCATTTTGATGTTCATTATAGTTATAATTTATGTCTACCTGGTAGGAAAAAGTTTGATGCTACTATTGTATTAATATCAGAATTACAGTAGCTATTTTGAGTAGGTTTTAAGCACATGTCCAGGAATATTTGTACGTTTCTCTGAAGAATAATTTTTGTCGGGTACAGGAATACAAGCCTCCTATGGCCCTGGATATTCCTGCAGACTTCAGAATTACACTTCTACCCAATGCTAAGAATCCTTATGGTGTTCTTGGTTCTAAAGGTAAGTAGAACATGCTAAACTTAAGTCACTAAGAACGACTTGTCACTGAACAGTAGACTGGACCAGGGTCATGAACAACTTGTCAGTGAACGGTAGACAGGACCAGGGTCCATGTGTATAGCTGGCCCAATGCTGGACCAATATTGTGATGGTCCAGTTGTATGTATGGACCAGTCTTCATGGCCCAGTCCACTCTTATGTTTGTTCAGTTCATTCACTGTTTTGTGAAATTTAGGAAATTAGTGTAAGAGAAGAGTACAACATCTATTGGTCTACACAATGTCATTTCCATCAATCATTATTACACTGTTTATCTGGTTAATTCTAGACATTAGTGTTGCTCTGGTTATTTGTTGCCATCATTAGTGTTGCTCTGGTTAATTGTTGCCATCATTAGTGTTTCCTTGGTTAATTGTTGCCATCATTACAGCTACTGGGGAGCCTCCGTTATGTCTGTCTTATGCTGTGGTGACAGCGCTGCGCCAGGCCATCACAGCCTTCAGACAGGAGAACGGTGACAGCTCCTGGTTCCAGATGGGTGAGTGTACTTGTCTTGATTGGGGTTGAGAGACTGCTCTTGGCCCTGTTGTTCCAGGCTGCTTGGATCATGTTGTATCTGATCTCGAAGCTGCATACCGTTTCTCTCTGCTGCTTCATCCAAGTCATTCCATTTTTCAACCAAACAAGAGTTGTATTATTAATGAGCTCTCATTCCCCCAGGCAGTATATGACCCCCTATGGGTTTATTACTTCCCCCCATAATAATCACGTGCAATTGAGATTTAGTACAGGTATAAAGTGTGCAGGATGTGTATAACATACTGACCTTGTTCTTTCAGACACTCCCATCACAGTGGAGAAAGTTCATCAGTGGTGTGGTGTGAAACACTTCCCAGTTCCAGCTTTATGAATAATTGTAGATCACCATCACAGTGGAGTGTTCATCAGTGGAGTGTTCAACAGTTCACCTGCACTATTAACCTGGAAAAATTAAACCTAGTGTTATATAACCTTAATCACAAATAATTTTCCATTTACACAGTTCATTTTAGCTATTAATACTACATATAAAAGGAAAATTTCAACACTGGCCATATCCCACTGAGGCAGGGTGATCTAAAAAGAAAAACGTAAGTTTTTTCTTTTTAAATTTAGTAATTTATACAGGAGAAGAGGTTACTAGCCCCTTGTTTCAGACAATTATATAATATACACCTACCATCCAACTTACGACCTGCTCGACTTACGACCACCTGACTTACGATCATGTTTTTTATGCCAAATTTCTGGGAAATAAACAACTATTTGTGTTGTACACAGCCTTTATCCTAAACCTTACAGTATAAAATACAGTACTAACAACATAAAAAGTAAAGTAAAACATGAAATACCAAAATAAAACAAAATAGTCATTGTTATGGGGATATAGGACCCAACATGTATTTATAAGTAACAGTTACTATAATAATACCTAATTATATTGAATTGATGGGGACTTTGCTCTAAATGTCAGAAGGACTGATCAACCTTATGACTGAGAGGCAGCTGGGTCAAACCTATTTTTCTCAATATAATAGGTTATACTATAGACACATAAACACACAATTTAAATAAGTAGTTTATAAAGTTGTATTTCTTTTTGTAAAAGTAAAATTAAGGTGTGGTAGAATTGTGGTAACTGGAGAATTGTGCTTGGCAACAGTCTTTTGTTTTGGTGGGAGGAGCTTAGCCAGTCTCCCTCTCTCTCCCTCTCACTGACTCTCTCTCTCTGTGGCTGACCTTCAACCTGGCAGGATCTCTGGGTCCTTCTCCTATCTTTTGGGGCATCATGTGTGCTCCAGGGGTGAGTTTTTATAATTTAAGTTTTGGCCACCATACCCAGGGTGACTAAAGTGTGTCAAAACACTGGTTAGCCCAGAGTTATGTCAGGAAGAGTGAAGGACAAGAGTTGTTGCAACACACCATGTGGAGCACAGGCATGGAGTGTGTAGATTTTGTTTTGAAAATGGAGGCTGTGATTGTATATTCTGTACATATCTATTGAGAATACAGTTATATTTTTATAGTAGTAGTTTACATAACCTGTGAAGAGGGCTGGTGAAAAGGTATCAGAGACACTCAAGATGATCAGCCATGATGTAAGTATTACCCCTAGACAAATAAGACCATTAAGTAAAAGCTACCCCACACTAGAACATGTAGTGAGAACCTTACAATCAAAGTAATAAGGGACAAACCAACGTAACATGGGCTCCCGGACAGGCCCCCATGTTACGTTGGTTTGTCCCTTATTACTTTGATTGTAAGGTTCTCACTACATGTTCTAGTGTGGGGTAGCTTTTACTTAATGGTCTTATTTGTCTAGGGGTAATACTTACATCATGGCTGATCATCTTGAGTGTCTCTGATACCTTTTCACCAGCCCTCTTCACAGGTTATGTAAACTACTACTATAAAAATATAACTGTATTCTCAATAGATATGTACAGAATATACAATCACAGCCTCCATTTTCAAAACAAAATCTACACACTCCATGCCTGTGCTCCACATGGTGTGTTGCAACAACTCTTGTCCTTCACTCTTCCTGACATAACTCTGGGCTAACCAGTGTTTTGACACACTTTAGTCACCCTGGGTATGGTGGCCAAAACTTAAATTATAAAAACTCACCCCTGGAGCACACATGATACCCCAAAAGATAGGAGAAGGACCCAGAGATCCTGCCAGGTTGAAGGTCAGCCACAGAGAGAGAGTCAGTGAGAGGGAGAGAGAGGGAGACTGGCTAAGCTCCTCCCACCAAAACAAAAGACTGTTGCCAAGCACAATTCTCCAGTTACCACAATTCTACCACACCTTAATTTTACTTTTACAAAAAGAAATACAACTTTATAAACTACTTATTTAAATTGTGTGTTTGTGTCTATAGTATAACCTATTATATTGAGAAAAATAGGTTTGACCCAGCTGCCTCTCAGTCATGAGGTTGATCAGTCCTTCTGACATTTAGAGCAAAGTCCCCATCAATTCAATATAATTAGGTATTATTATAGTAACTGTTACTTATAAATACATGTTGGGTCCTATATCCCCATAAGTCATCACAAAAATGTTTTGTTGATATTCAGTAGTAAAGTTCGACTTACGACCGGTTTCTCGGAACCGAACTTGGTCGTAAGTCGGATGGTAGGTGTATGTATGCTGCTTGTGGACTAGTACACCAAACAGGTATGAGAATGAAAATTAGCCTGGAAGCTCCCATGACACCGAAGGTCCTCCGATGGCAGTAAAACATCAAGCTTTGCTGGCTGTGCCATCTTTGTTGGATTGGATGGTCCTGTGGGTTATGGTGTCGTGTGGTTCTAGCTCACTATGAGGCGGGCCAGTAGAACAGGAGTCCTTGGCTAGTGCAGTGTTGTTGTTAATCAGTACCACTCATTTATGGTTGCAATAATATATATATATAATAGTGGTATTCTAAATATAGTAGTGGTATTCTGCATATAATAGTGGTATTCTGAATGTAATAGTGGTATTCTGAATGTAATAGTGGTATTCTAAATATAGTAGTGGTATTCTGCATATAATAGTGGTATTCTGAATGTAATAGTGGTATTTTGAATTTAATACGTATAGTAGTTGTCTAAATATAATGCAGGTCGACCATCACTAATCCAGCATCATCAGGACCTGTAGGGTGCTGGATTAGTGACTTTGCCAGATTACAAAGTGGTTAGGTTAGAATACACTTAACCCAATGGCAATATTTACACATCGGCGATTTCACCCAATTTACGCCCTATTTTTGGCCCATTCCATTGTTCCAGTCTACCAAACTCGTAGCTATTTTGCTAGTATTCCTTCTGTAGTGCTGTTTATTCAGCTAAGTTTATACAAGTATTGCACTGAACCTTCACTTCAGTGAAACAGATCTTGCAAGGGTTCACGCGAGATTTGTTCTAGTTTCTGGTTTCATACAAAATGGCTAGCTGGTTAATTATGCATTAAAACCCATCAACTACACGATCCTTAAGGACCTCAATAGCAATAAGTCACTTTGTCTAGCTTTTTTAGGTTATCCTAGGTTCTCGACACATATCTGGAGAGAGTTCCAGGGGTCTATGTAACTGTATTTGTGTATATCTGAATAAACTTGCTTGTTTACTTCTATTCTGTTGATTGAGTACAAGGAACTGCCCATTCACCTGTTTCAACTACCTAATAAAATGGTCAGAAATTGGCAATTTGGCCAATTTCTCACAAATTTCAAAAGATGCCAGTTTCAAAATAGGGTCCAAAATAAACAATGCAAATATTCCTGTCACTAAAATAACATTTTCTGTTCATTAGTCATGTCTCCAGGTCCCTTCTATTTTTTGTGTGAATTTTTATTCACACAAAAAATAGAAGATTTACTGTTATGCAGACTACTGCATTATTGTAATAACTGCATAAATAATGTCAGCCCATTCGTGGCTGCGTATTAGACTGGCCAGGTGGATACGTATTGGATTGTAATGTCATTTGTTTACTCTTGAACACGACAAAAATCGAACATTTCTGCTACTTTGAGCTCAATTTCAAGGTACTTTTTATCATGAAACCAATCAAAATCATATCTATTTCTGTAATATATCTTCCATTCTATCAAATGAGACCAAAAAAAATGAGAATACAACCATATGAAAATACAGTGGACCCCCGGTTAACGAACTTTTTTCATTCCAGTAGTATGTTCAGGTGCCAGTACTGACCGAATTTTTTCCCATAAGGAATATTTTGAAGTAGATTAGTCAATTTCAGACCCCCAAACATACACGTACAAACGCACTTACATAAATACACTTACATAATTGGTCGCATTTGGAGGTGATCGTTATGCGGGGGTCCACTGTACACTGCTAAGGGGCGAGTAATGACTGTGAAGTGAACTCCGTTGTTTATCATCCAACTTCTTTCATTTTTGGTGTATGTTAAGAAGCATCTTTCCATCATACATTGCCCAAGTTTCAATAAGATGGCCCAACAAATGACTGAGAAAAAAAAAGGGGTTTACCAAAAATCAGTCACTTCAACTTTTTTGGGTTATCCTAGGTTCTCTACACATATGCTGCTATGTATGATAATCAGTGTAGAGAAAATAGCTTTTTTACTTGTTTTATGGTGCATAATGAGTGTGTATCATAGCCCTGTACTACACTGTTTTCTCTAATATAAGCCCCCAAGACAGGGATAGGAGGATGGTATTTGTATCCCATATCCTCTTCATACCTCTGTCAAACCGCTCAGTATTATGCCAGATATTATTCGTTCTGGAGTATTTACCATGGTTTTATGTTATACTGTTCATTATGTCATATTAGATCAAGTGTGACAGGTAAATAAGCCATAGTGTTGATATTAACGTAATAATAAAGCATATTCCCCTGCATCATGAGACTGAGCTCATGGCAACCGACAGTGGCTTAAAAGCCACTTTATCTTTTATGGACAATGTACTGTGTATGTGCTTTACACAATGAGAAGAATTTCTTTTATTCATTGGAACCATGGCTAGGGCTAAAAGTAAGCAGGTTATAACAATAAATGGAGAAAAAGAAATTGGAATGACTTGTGCAGCAAGTAGCGCCGCCTAACAGTAGCAGCAGGTTGGTGTGGCGACGCTGGAAATTTGAAATTGTGCTAGCCGAAATTAGTGCCGGATGACTGATTGCCAGATTAGTGATGGCCGACCTGTAGTAATATTCTGAATATAATCCCACAAGTGAAAGTCATTAGATTACTCTGAAGTATTAATGCAAACTTTTAAAAGTGTACAGTTGTTCACTTGTACATTTAGAAATTCTTACTTAATAACCAGTGTCTAGTTCTTAAGTAGACTTTGAGCCATAGAATTAGTTGCCATAGCATTAGCCTGCCAGAAATACACAAAAAATGAGACACTTGCAACAATTCAGTATCTTTATTTGGAAAATTTTTTACCACACAGTGGTTCAAACTGGCACCCCAAACTTTCCTACCACACCCTCTCTAAAAAGTTTCTCCTACTTAAGCATTCAGGTCCCCTACCACAAATCTCTCTCACTTGGTTCAAATGTTCCTATACATGCACTAACATCCCCCAAAATCTCGTCTCTCTCCTCACATTCCTCTCTTCTCCCAGGTAGCATACACTCTTATTATGACCCACTTTTCGCATACGCAACCTTTGCTTTATCCGTTATAATTCTTGAATTTTACACATTCATATTCTCCGCTTCTCCTTCCATAACGATCCATCAACATTACTGCTACCCCTTCCTTAGCTCTAACTCTCAGATACTCCAGATTTTAATCCCATATTTCCCCCACCGAAAACTCCCCTACTCCCCTTATTTAAACTGTGTTTGTGTGTCAATAGTATAACTTATATATTGAAGAAAACAGCTTGACCCAGCTGCCTTACAGCCATAAGATGATCTGCCCTTATGACATTTAAGCCGAGTCCCCCATAATTCAATATAATTAGGATAACCCAGAGTTAACAGATCATAAATACAAGTTGGGTCCCATAGCCCCAACAATGACATACATGGCTACTCGAGTTTTCGAACTGCTCCCAACTCTAACAGTTATGTAAGTGTATTTTTGGGGGTCTGAAACGGACTAATCTAATTACATTATTCCTTATGGAACAAATTTTGTTTAAGCAGTATCGGCCTGTGAACAGCCTTCGGAACAAATTAAAGTTCGTAACTCGAGGTACCACTGTATATATAGAAAGCCGCTGGTTTATGCAGAGCATTCGAGCACGTATATCATACTCACGGTACACGTAAACTATCATAATATCATAACACAACAGGACCTTGGAAATGTTCTCAGCCTTCATGTTATGCAAGAGATAATGCTTCCTGGGGTTGGTAGGCCCCTCAGGTTTGGTGCTCCCTCTATATAATCAAAATTAAGTGTACTAACCTTGGCTACCTCCGATAGTTTTGGGGTTTGTCTGTACTGGCTGGCCTCGAGGGTGGTTTGTCTGTAGCCCTGGGCCCTGAAACTGATGGTCTGTATTCCTTGACCTTG